CATGTGATAGAAAACATACACGCTTACGTATGTATTGTGTCTGTATGGTAATAGTATTACTGTGTTATAATATATATATATATATATATATATATATATATATATATATATATATATATAAATAAAAAGAAAGAACAGTAAGATTATATATATATATATATATATATATATATATAATGATAAAAAGAGCATTTACTTAAATATTTGTATCTATAGAAAACGTATATACAGGAAATATATTAAAATATTTTTCGCATTTTCATAATCTCTCTCTCTACTATATATATATATATATATATATATATATATATATATATATATATATATATATATATATATATATATATATAAATAAAAAGAGCATTTACTTAAATATTTGTATCTATAAAAACGTATATACAGGAAATATATTAAAATAATTTTCGCATTTTCATAATCTCTCTCTCTCACTATATATATATATATATATATATATATATATATGATAAAAAAGAGCATTTACTTAAATATTTGTATCTATAAAAAACGTATATACAGGAAATATATTAAAATAATTTTCGCATTTTCATAATCTCTCTCTCTCTCTCTCTCTCTCTCTCTCTCTCTCACTATATATATATATATATAGACAAAAAGTAGGTGGGGATCAGGGATTGATCTCCCCTGATTGGGTCGACATGGTGATGGGGAGTATGATGTTGAAAGACCCGAAACTCCCTGATGAATCAAGTCAAATAACATCCCTGACGGCCCCCTAGGGCGCCTACTTAAGAGCGTATTTTTTGATTGAATATATGTACGTATAAATGCAGAATATGCAGAAAAAAAACACACACATGTAAATTCATGAAGGGATAAAAACATATCCATGTCTGTCAGTTTCACGTTTGAAAATATTTTTATATCATAGTGTCGGTATCTATGTAGGCAAATACTTTAATGGAAATACATTTTCATGCCGAATGTGTCTTTATGTACACTCAACTGAAATCTTTACCTCAGTTTGCAGTTGAATTAAGACGACGAACGGTATCCAGAAATCGACTGGTACCCAGTCACATTCAAACTACTGACAACACGTAAGTTATAGATCGCGATACGTTTGATCGATATCCAGTGGATGTGGATCTTCGAAAATCAATATTATTAAAGACGACGTTTAACCTGCGTGTGACTCTGCTGTGTCCTATAAGCGTAGTGATATCGAGTTGGGAACTTTGCATTCTATCTTATCTGTTTAGTCGTCTCCTGACCCAATATATAGTTCTGAAGCTATTTTTGATATTAACAGAACGGTATAGACAGATAGATAGATAGATAGATAGATAGATAGATAGATAATGCAAAGACATAGATAGATAGATAGATAGATAGATAGATAGATAGATAGATAGATAGATAGAACCTGAGCTGAGATAGATAGAAACAATCTAACATATATACAGTGTAACCCGGACATAAGAGACCCGGATATAAGAGAAACCCGGATATAAGAGAGATTTTCTCCGGTCCCAAATTAGAGCCTGTGTTAATGTATATAAATTAGACCAAACACGGATATAAGAGAAACCCGGATATAAGAGACTTCTTCTCCGGTCCCGACAGCTCTCTTATATCCGGGTTTATATATATATATATATATATATATATATATATATATATATATATATATATATATATATAAAAAGAAAGAGGTTATAGTGTTTCCAACGAGAGAAAAGTGTGTATATTAAAATGAAGAAAAGAGAGGTGCCGCAAACGTTTTTGGTTGTTATGTGGATTTTTAAAAAAAAATTATTATGCTTTATTTTCCATAATTTTACTACGCGTGTCTCTGGGCTAGCGACCATCTTCAGGTAAATATATATATATATATATATATATATATATATTGTGTATTTAGGCAGCAATCCCTCATTTATACATGTTTCATTAATGACGACAGACAAGGTACTACGAATATACCTTTCATTTAATTTTTCTTGTGTTCGAACAATTGTTTTCTTTTCTGGACACAGAGTGTGTAAAAACTGTCCAAATATTCTGTAATTCCGAATGCTTTCGTCTATACTTTTCGCCATTAACAAGGTTTTCATACCAACAATACATTTAAAAAAAAAAAAAAAAGAAAAAAAAAGAAATCATTACAGCATTACAATTTTGAAAAAAAATCCCAGTAATAAAAGTTTTGTCGGCATTAAATAACCCACAGAGTTTCGTGTGTAACACGTGTGTATATTCCTGGGTAAGATTTTTACTTTTTAACTGGGTGTATGTTTTTTGTGTATGTTTCTAGAATTATAGGGATGTTTTTATTTTTTGATACACAGCACATTGTGGCCGTGTTCGTAATTAATATTATTCGTTGTTGCTTTTTCTTTTCTTTTTTTATTATTAAACATAATTATTATAAGAAATCACTTATTCGAACACCCCGTAGATTGAATAAAGTGTTAAGTTCAGAATTCCCTCTCGCGTAACCAATACAATACTCACATGATACTAACGAAACGTTGTGATAACAACAACAAAGATAAAGATATTTGTCCGAATATAAAATAATGTAAACATATTTTATTAATTCTATCTTATCCTTTTCTCCATTTTGTCTTGTCTGTTTTGTTTTACGGCATATCAATGGGTTATTTAATGCCGACAAGATTTTTAGAGATGGTAATCTTTTTTTTCAAAAATATATTGTTGATAATAATTTTTTTTTTCAAAAATATATTGCTGGTAATATTTTTTTTTTTTTAAATATATTGCTGTCAATAATTTTAAAAAAATATATTGCTGGTAATAATTTTTTTTTCAAAAATATATTGCTGGTAATATTTTTTTTTTTAATATATTGCTGGTAATAATTTTTTTTTTCAAAAATATATTGCTGGTTAAAATTTTTATTTCAAAAATGTATTGCTAGTATGGAAACCTATGATACTTTGATCCTGTTTTAACACCAGTTTGGGGGTTAACTCCAGTTTGGGGGTTAACTCCAGTTTGGGGGTTAACTCCAGTTTGGGGGTTAACTATTTACTCATGTGCCTCTCACTCACTGTTCTGCCATCCATTTACAAAAGGTAATTAGGTAGTCTAATTGATGCCTACCTGTATATCTCTTGCCACGCGAGAGTGACGTCATGAGCTGCGGTGCAATTTTCGCTTCCAGCGTCATATATGCACGAGTTTGTCGTTGCTTGGGAATCTTCCATGTAAACAGAAACAGACTATCATCACTGTCTTGTCCGTGTATTGCTTAATATATTGTAATGTAATTGTCATCTTTGATAATGGATTACGTCAGCTGAAAGCTGAGATAGGATTAAAAGATATGTATCAATACTGTGATTTTCTTTCTTCATTTAAGCTTATCAGACGATATGAAAAGAATTTACATAAAATAAATAGACAACACTTATACTTATCTATATTATTTAATGAAACATGTATCAATAAAAAAAATGGTGCCTAAATACAGACATTTTAAATATATATATAAATATATATATAGTCATCCACAGACAGACTGTTTCGCTGTATCACAGCTCATCAATGTGACTAGACATCCGGTTGCCTCTAGCTAGGACCGAAACCCGATTGAATTGGCGTCAGTCGGGGATTCTAACACTAAGCCGTTGGCGCACGGCAGGGATGAAGGTGAATTTTAAGTGTATTTATTTTTAGATTAACACCCAGTGACTCTCTCTCTCTCTCTCTCTCTATCTATCTATCTATATATATATATATATATATATATATATATATATAATTTAATGAATTCAAACAGAAAGTTGAAAATATATATATATATATATATATATATATATATATATATATGCAGAAATATAGTATTAAGATGTGCTATAGTTATGGGATAAAGTGCTCAATATCAGAGATAGAGCATGTGTAAATATAAAAGTGAGCATAGTCGTCAACACTTAGAGGCGACATTCTGTTTCAAGCAAGATGCAATTCTCGGGCAACTGTTCCCGCCAAAATAATAGTTAGAATAAACTACAACAATCAACCCCAAAATAAATGGCTTTAATTATCTTCCTAAACTGATAAATAAGCGATCATTATTTACATTATTCGGACTATTGTCCTCAACTTTTTCGCCATATTTATCACAACGTTTCGGCCGTTGGAATGTCGAATTGAACCCTTTATCTCGCTCACTGGGGTGGACTGTTCTAGTTCCACGGCTGTCAGTTATCAGTTATCTCCTGTTAATTTCCCTCTGAAAGTTCTCCACTGCTTTAACCGGGTATTGAACTCACACTCTTTTGGTCCTATCACTGGATCTTAACTAACGTCTTTATCCACTGTGTCATGTGTCCTTAAGGACATCTGGGTGCGAATTTCTGGGTATTATAAACATAATGTCTTCAGCAACCATTTTTACCAGTGTTCATATTGCAATTTCGCTGTTATCATTTGATGTTTTTACCAGAGCTCATATTGCAACTATATTATTATCATTGCTTTTCTCTGGCAATATTCGATTCTCTGCTCGGTATCACGCTCTTTCCCCAAAATTGTAACTAAAGTCTGCTCAGCATAGTTGCAGTATAAGTGGGCTCTGTGAGTGATGAATAAACAGAAATGCGCCTGATCAAGCATCTGCAGTAGGGATTAGCTAGCCGCCATAGTAGACGGGTATCTTCGAATACGAGTGGCCAGCTATACATCAACACTGTGTCATCTGCATATTTTACATTGTTAAAATTGGCCACCAATGATGGATCCTGGAAGGACATCTTATTCTCTCAGAATTGTTTCGCTGTATAAGTTGAATAAGTCCGGTGAGAAGACCCATTCTTGTCTTACACTTTTTTGTATATTTGCTAAACTCATTTTCTGTCGGTATTTGCAGGCAGTTTGCTGACAGTATAGATTCTTGAAATCTGTAAAGAATTTGTATTTGTATGAAGATTATTCCTTATTTTTCTTCGCGGAAAAAAAAAAAGAAGGTTTTGATATTAATGTTCTCGTTTGCGATGCAATATCGTCAGTTCATATTTCTGTCAGGAAAAGAAAGACGCAAGACGAGAGGAGGCAAACGGAAGACATCAAGAAGTCCCCACCCCCCGCATTCGACACTGCGTTACGGAAGTGATTTACGAGTCTCCCCTCTCTTTACCGCCCTTCTCTCTCCCTCTCTCCCTTTTCCCTCTCTTTCTATTCCTAAAATAGGTCATGCATGGTATAAATTTAAAACGAATAGGATATTAAAACACGTTAAGGGGCTCACAATCAACTCACATTATAATCAATTTTAAAAACCTGCGATGAACATAATTTAAATTAATTACAACTAATTCTATTACGAAATACTTCAAAGAAAATTTTAAAAAAAGAAAGAAGAAAAAAAATAGGGTTAAAAGGTGAGTTGGATGTGTATGTAGTCTTGCAGTTTTTCACTTTGTAAAGTAAAATCGGAGAGTCGAGTTCGAATTCCGTCCAAATCTGCCACGATCATTTTTTGCCTTTATACCTTTCGAAAAGTTATGGATCCTTCTCTTCCCTCCGAACCATGTGTTAAATAATAGCGTATATTAGACTCTCTAACCCTGGCTGGCAACCAGTCTACAGAATGACTATGCCGAATGAAAAGGAAATGGAGAAAACCACCAAATATAAACACTAATGTATTTTCCCAGAAACCATATTAATTCAAAAATAATAAATAAAAGGAAAATGTGGAGAGCCATGTTTACCTTTGTCGTTTGTTGATATGACGCCACATATTCAAAAATAATTCAATATATGATGAACAATGTAACATCTTCGTAAATCGAACCCTGATTGCTGGGATTTAGAGAATAATTTCCGCATTTATTTTAGTTATAAACTCGGCTAATTATTATTTAAGTTTTAGGTTTCGGGATAAAACGGTGGTTGTCAATTATCTTGGACAAATTCTTACATTTACCGTCTCAGATTCTCTCAATGCCTCTCCTTTTATGATTTCAGAAACAGGCATATCACTAGTCACAGTATGTAAAGGTAATGGTAAGTGGCGCCAACTTAGACTGATGTCACGTAAGTGCCTAGACGTATATCAACTGACACTTGGCGAGTCAGTGTCAACATCGGCTAAGCTGATCATTGCAATGTAATGTGAATTGTTGAAGTGTGACCAGATCACGATAACGAGTGTTATATTCAGTATTTGAATGTACTTGATGGAGAGCCTAATGTGCACAGCAAATTAGCTAACCATGAGTCATCAATGATCGCTACGATGATCACTTAGCCGGCCATGAATTCAAAGTGACGAATGCCATGAACACCTAGCCGACTTCAGATCCTTAGTGATCGTGGACATGAACACTTAGCCGACCATAAGTCCTAAGTGATGGTTGCCATGAGCACTTAGCCGACCGTGAGTCCTTGGTGATGGTTGCAATGAACTCTTAGCCGACCATAAGTCCTAAGTGATGGTTGCCATGAGCACTTAGCCGACCGTGAGTCCTTGGTGATTGTTGCAATGAACTCTTAACCGACCATAAGTCCTTAGTGATCGTGGACATGAACACTTAGCCGACCATGAGTTCTCAATGATCGTGGTCATGAACCCTTACCTGATCATGAGTACTTAATGGACTTTTCCATGAACCTTTAGCCGATCATGAGTCCTTAAGAATCGTTGTCATTAACACTTCGCTGATCATGAATAATTAATCGAATTTTTCATGAACACTTAGACGACCATGAGTCCTTAAGAATCGTGGTTATGAACTCTTATCTGACTATGCATCTTTAATTATCGTTACCATATACCTTAACCTTGATAGTTGTGCTCTTAGCCGACGATGAGTTCTTAATGACCTTTGCCATGAATCCTTTGCCGAAAATGAGTTTTAAATAATCGTTGCCATGAACATTTAGCCTTAACTGGAAGAATCTTTAATGATCATGACGTGGCTAGGATTGTATGTGGTTACGGACAAACGAAGATTTCATCCGAACAATTACCATGAAAGTATTTATATAATAGACACAGATCGGCAACCTTATGGAAGTGGGCAAGTGACTGAATCCGAGCCGGTAGATCAGGACCGATTTTGTTGATTATTCTATGGATTTTATCAAGAAGTTCAAGGTAAATAACAGCGGCAGAAATACTTTAAGCATGGACGAATGGTAGAATTATAGATAAGTAAGATAGATTCTGGAGAGAAAAATTGTCTCACATGATACAGTAAACTAACTGTTATGGGGTCCACCCCTTTTTCATATGTGGACTCTACCAGTGTTACTTGGACGGCTGCCGTTAAATACCCAGAGTTAGACAGTCAGTGAGGGTAGTCGGAAAGAGAGAGAGAATATACGAACGGAGATAGTGTCAGATAGCCTCTTGTAGAAGTCAGTTACAAGCACATAGACTCTAAGGAAGTCCTACTTCGAGACTGTATATATCTATCTGTATTTGCTACTAACCGTGTTCCTGGATTTACTAACAGTATTACCATTTGTATGATTGTGTAAATACATTTTATTTCTTATATTTAATTATTGCGTTTGTTCTTCATTGGAAACCGAATTCATCTCGGAATCCACAACACTAACTTTCTTAGCAGCTGACCTATCAATGGATTCAATGTAGTCCCTCCAGTCATTTCAGCTGAGAAGGTTAGCACGAAAAGGTTAAACGACTTTCATGGAGATTAGCATTAGCCATGATGATATAAGGCAGAGGGAGTCTCTCAGATGATTAACGGAGATAAGTTTAGTTTCGGAGGCATTATAATTAACCAGTCATCATTTGACCCAGTTATTGTCAGACTTGATATGGTTTTGAAAATAGGCTGCTATTTTGATCTCGTCATTAAATGAAAATTAAAAAAAAGTGTAGGACCACAGATAGAACCCTGGGCCACACCCGCGTTACTAAGAAAGATCAAGACGAGTGGTCGTTCAGGATAACGTCCATTTCACAATTTGATAGTAAAGACTGGATCAGTTAAAAAATGTGTCCGAAGACACCGTAACTTTTCAGCCTGTGAAGAGGACCTGTATGCCAAACCCTGTCAAAATCTTTAGAGACGTCCAATGCTACAGCCCGGGATTCAACGTTTTTATCTAGTGCATGATAGACTCTTTATGCAATTATTGACAGTACATCAGCTGTTGACCCGGAGAAAGAAGACCCGGTTTTGTTTAATGACATATCAATTCCTCGTGAGACATCTAATGTCAAAGCAAGTAGGGTTGAGATTTTATATTTCTATAATATTTTTGTAGTTAAATCATTGTTTAAACGTTGTCGTCGTGCCAAAATTTTGTACTTTGTTATGCCATAGTACCTATTCTATTGTAATGGACTCTCCCATAGATAATAAGTAAGAGTAGCAGTGGCAAGTCTGGCAGAATGGTGTTGAGCGCGTCAGTCGAGATTCGGACATTTGAAGTACCAACCATCACAACTAGATTGCTGCGCCATTGACTCTTATTTTCCAAGTTCCTAACGTTTTGTACGTCGGACCTAATTTAGGACGACTTATTAGAAATACAAGCCTCTACTGTGAAAATACTCCACAACACACTTTCGGGTATATGCATACCCATAATGCAACAGCCACCAATTGTCATGAAGGTACCCTGCATAATTTTGTAGTTCCATAATTGTGTGCGGCGTGTTTACGTGATATGCCTTGTGTCCGCTGTTTCCAACATACGTCCTTGATCGATGGCACATACACTGCCCAGGTTCACGACCATTTGAACTCCACCTGATGAACATCATGTTTCCCAACAACTCTTAACTATGCTAGCTGACTTTTCTGGTCATAGGATGTGATGAGACAATTAAATATATATAACAACCCGTACATCCTCAGAGATCCCAACGCATTTTGTTTTTCATACTCTTTTGTTTTTTATTGTAACCTGTAGAACCCGTACACACCCGATGTTCTTTTGGCGAAACGCGTCGTTTACATGATTTTTAGAAATGTTATTTTTCAATCTTGTTAATGTATCTTATTAAATCATTTTTTAACTTCTGTTAACACCACTGATTTAATTTTATGAAATTATGCATGCTGCCAAGTTGCTCAGAATTGGTTTGAGAAGCATTCAGCATATATCCGACGAATGGTGTGCTCCATAGAGAAGATAGGTAACTTGATAAAGAGGTCGATTCGCGCGCAAGATCATGCATCTATAAATAACGGGCTATCTATCGACGCGGCATGGCTCATTATCTTTAAAGAGATCTCTAGATCGCCGGTAGAATCGATGACACGCCAATTTAATGCGCGTTGACGGCTTAGATAGGTACCTACACTATGCTAATTGCCGATTGCATGGCATTATACAAATCAATATGCATTGGACTGGAATTCTTTCCTCATTCCGACTTGGATTAAAAGTCGTCTATTTAGATTTTTAATTTATCTTCTAAGAAGCGCGTACGCGTCCTGGGTGTGAGTATAAATTACATCCGTGTCCTGAGTATGACGATAAAGTACATTTGTGTCCTTGGTAAGACGATAAAGTACATTCGTGTCCTCGGTAAGACGATAAACTATATCTGTGTCCTGGGTATGGTGATAGACTACATCCTTGTCCCGGGTAAAACGATAAACTACATCCGTGTCCTCGTTAAGACGATAAACTACATCCGTGTCCTGGGTATGGTGATAGACTACATCCGTGTCCTGGGTAAAACGATAAACTACATCCGTGTCCTCGGTAAGAAGATAAACTACATCCGTGTCCTCGGTAAGACGATAAACTACATCCGTGTCCTGGGCATGATGATAGACTACAACCGTGTCCTGGGTAAAACGATAAACTACATCCGTGTCCTCGGTAAGACGATAAACTACATCCGTGTCCTGGGCATGGTGATAGACTACATCCGTGTCCTGGGTAAAACGATAAACTACATCCGTGTCCTCGGTAAGACGATAAACTACATCCGTGTCCTGGGCATGGTGATAGACTACACCCGTGTCCTGGGTAAAACGATAAACTACATCCGTGTCCTCGGTAAGACGATAAACTACATCCGTGTCCTGGGTATGGTGATAGACTACATCCGTGTCCTGGGTAAAACGATAAACTAGATCCGTGTCCTCGGTAAGACGATAAACTACATCCGTGTCCTGGGTATGATGATAGACTACATCCGTGTCCTGGGTAAGACGATAAACTAAATCCAACAGCAAAGCCTCTGCTCAGGAGGCTTTGATG